ATTAGAATGTAGTTGAAGGATAAGACAAGACTTGGTAAAGTTAAAAATTAATGATTTTTTGAGACACTGACGATTGGATCATTTGAGCAGAATATTGTGTATGAGAAATATCTTATAGCTTGAAGTGAATTTCAAAATACAAATTCAAGAATATAGTTAATTTTGAAGGATAAGACAAGACTTGGTAAAGTTAAAAATTAATGATTTTTTGAGATGATTGGATGATCTTATGTCTTATATATCTTGAAATGTAGCCACGAATTCCAATCGAATAAAATACGATTAATTTAAGATCGTGGTGTTCATTTGATAGAACAAGTCATTTTGATAGTATCATTTATTTTGACTTAGCACAAGATAAAGTTTGTACTATTATCGAAGAATCAATGATTTTTTGGAGGTTCTGACCAGATTATTGCGTATGAGAAATATGGCTTGAAGTGAATTTCAAAGTACGATTAATTTAAGATCGCGATTGATTTCGAGGGATAGGACAAGGTATAGTTAAAAATTAAGCGATGCGAAGTGAATTCCAATCGAATAACGTACGATTAATATAAAATTTTTGCATTGAAAATTGTCGAATAAACTACAATTAATTTAATTAAAACCTTCAGAAAAACAATTCCCCAGATTCAGAACTCGATATTTCCCTCTTTCCTCTATCTACGAAATCGCGATCCACAGAGAGAAATAACGACAATCGTATCAAGGAGAGAAAGTTTCCCAAGAAGAAATTTCTTCTCGTTTGAAACAAACCCAAACAACAAGGAACGATCTAAAAAACTTTACCTTTATTATTATTATCGAAAAATTAAAACCAAAAATTTTAATTCTCCTCTCTCTCTCCCTTCCAACTTCTTCGTATAAAATTCCAACGTGGCAAAAATTCACCACGAAAACGTTGAAGCGTGAGATAAGAGGAGGGCGTACGTTCCAGGAAAACGCGGCCAAAGGGATGCGAAGAGAAAGAGATAGATAGATAGATAGAGAGAGGACGGAGTCACGTGAGTTATGGCCGTCCCGACGCCTCTCTCCCGTTGGCCCCGGGCTCAATTTACAGATGATTCCGCGTGTTACCGCCCGGCCAACGGCTGGTTAACCTTCCCGCCGAACGCTTAATCTTCCAACCGTGTCCCACTGTGACCGAGTCCGCGGACTTTCCACGCGGATCGGGGCCAACCGTTTCGAAAACGATGAATGGAGATGCCTATAAACTTGCCCACCCTTTCACGACCTTGCCACGTCCAACGACCGCGACCCAGCCTCCTCCAACCGGCCAGATTTATCGGCCCTCGATGGGACGACAATAGCCAACAAGTTGGCGGAAAATGGATCGCGATTTTGTCCCTCTCTCCATCCATCCCTTTTCCTTTCTTTCTTTAATAACGTTTATCCAATAATAATATCGTTGGATGAAATTATTCTCGACGAAATTTGCGATTCGTTTTACGATTCGCAATTTACCATTCGTTTCAGTTACCGTTGCCTTGGTAACGAGATAAGCGGACTTATATACGTATGGTATTGCTTTCTTTTTTTAATAAAGTTTATCCAATAATAATATCGTTGAAATTTGCGAACGAGGACGAGGAGGGTGATGACACGTTCGTTTCAATTAGCAGATTTATATACATATAGTATTCCTTTCCCTTTTTTTAATAAAGTTTATCCAATAATAATATCGTTGGATGAAATTTGCGAACAAGGACGAGAAAGATGAGAACACACGACACACGTTTCAATTACCGTTGCCTTGGTAACGCGATAAGCGGACTTATATACGTATGGTATTGCTTTCTTTTTTTAATAAAGTTTATCCAATAATAATATCGTTGAAATTTGCGAACGAGGACGAGGAGGGTGACGACACGTTCGTTTCAATTACCGATGCCTTGGTAACGCGATACGCGGATTTATTACCACTCCGGTTCCGGTTGCACAACGGAACGGTTGCGAAGAAGAGGGTCGGGTCAACGGCAGGAAGTTGCGTTGGCCATCTCTAAAACCCCGCTCTCTGTACACACGCACACACACGCGCGCAGAGAAAGAGAGATCCTTTGCTCTGGGAAGAGCGATTCTGGGCAAAAACGAGGCTTCTTTCTGGAGGAAATCCAGCGCACCGTGACCACACAGTCGTTATTATCATCAAAGCATGGCTGGCAAATGCTCGCCTCGGCCTCCCATCAAAAAGCTAATCGACTGGGCTTAAGTAAACCATAACGAATGGACAGCGCACACAGCTCGAAGACACAAACTCGAATTCCTTTTCTTTTAAACGCTCTCGTCCCTCCAACATATATATATATATATAATTCATAACCCTCGTTGAAAGGGTTTTCCTTGGTCGAAGGGACCCGCATGTGGCCATTTCCCCTTTTTCCAATACTTGGAGGACGATTTGAATCGGTTTGCCGAAATCGGTTGGGGAAACGAGGAGAAGAGAGTTGGTTTCTTAGCACGTGACGACACGACGATGCCTCCCAGATGCCCGCAGGAAAGGAGGAGGAGGAGGAGGAGGAGGAGGAGTGGTCGTTGGCCGTCATTAGCCGTCGGGACAACGGGACACCCCGTGGCGAACCGCAATGTGTCGCTGGACGGACAGTGTGTACAGGGAACAGGAGGATGAATCCTGCGGCTGTGGTTAATCGACTCTCTTGGAGGACTCGCGGTAGCTTCATCATCACCATTTGTCGAATGGTGTCGGCCGTGAAACGAAATCGGCCTCCGTCCATTTGCGATGATCTTGTCGGATCGGGATCGAATCGAGCGACCGTGGAATCATACGTGGAGTTTTGAGTCTCGTATTGAGATTGCCAACACGGGGGACGAGTTTCATATCTCGTTTCGTTTCGATTTAAAAATTGACCCGATTCTAATTTTCCTTAAATTGGTAGGAGTGTAAATACGAGAAAGAGAGAGAGAGAGAGAGAGAGAGGGAGGGATTCTCGATCGAGTGTTCGCCACGAGTAATTGATTTATTATTCCATTACGAGTGTATACAGACGACTAAACGCTCTTATGAATAGGTGGTTGATAGATGTCGTCGTGGAATCATCGATCTTCCCGGAACGAATGTTGAAGAGCGATGAGTTTCGCTCGAGTCAAAAGGGTTGATTTTCGTCGGATTATTTCCTCGCCGCGCTTTTCGTAGAGAGGGGAGGAAGGGGAGGGGGATTAACACAGGACGGAGTGGACAACAATTGGATGGAAAAGTGAGGAAGGAGGAGAAGGAGGGTTGAGAGCGATCGGCGAAGGGACGATTTTCTCCCCATACACTCGGTTGAAAAGGGTTGAAAAGTCCTGCAAAATACGAGCGATGGGGGCTTCGAAATTCGAATTGGATGGCCGATTCGAGAAATTTGAGGTGGCCAATCTCACCCTTCGATTTAAGAGTATGCAAGAGCTAACAAGAGGGTTGATCGAATCCAATATTCCATCAACGTATTCACTACCACCTGTTTTGACGACTAATCTTATTTTCGATTTATACTCGATTTAAGAATCCATTATTATTGCATTCTCAATGTATTATTCTTATTCGATAATTAAGAATAACACTAACAAGACTGTTAATCGAATCTATTTCTCGCATTCTCAATATATTATTCTTATTATATTCAATTTAAAAATAAGAGTTAATCGAGTCCATTTCTATCAACATATATATAGCGATCACTACCTGTTTCGATCTTAAATTCTCACTGCTCGATATATACTCTACCTTCTTTTAAAATTATTATTTCTCCATTACCAGTTTCGATCTTAAATTTTCTCCCTTTATATATGTAGTCGATTGAAGAATAACATTAACAAAAGTGTTAATCGAATCCATTTCTCACGTCCTACCAAATATATTATTCTTATTCGATATATATTCAATTTAAGAATAACAAAAATGTTAATTCTTCACTATCTATTTCGACCTTAAATTTTCACTGCTCGATACATACTCGATTTAAAAATAACACTAATAATCATTTCTCGTCTTCAACATATATTATCCCTATCTGTTTCGATTTTAAATTCTCACTGTTCGATATACACTCGATCCAACACTATTAATCGAATCCATTTCTACATATATATCTTCTATTACTTCTCCACTACTTGTTTCTTAAATTTTCACTGTTCGATGTATACTCGATTTGAAAGTAGCACTAACATAAGTGTTAATCGAATATATTTCTCACATCCAAATATATTAACTCTCAATATATTATTCTTATTCGATATATATTCAATTTAAGAATAACATTAACAAAAATGTTAATCGAGTCCATTTCTACCAACGTACATATCGGTCATTGCTTCTCCACTACCTATTTCGATCTTCTAAATTTTCACTGTTCGATTTAAAAATAACACTAATACTAATCGAATCATTTCTCGCCTTCTACCAACATATATATCGATTATTTCTATTTGTTTCGATCTTAAACTCTCATCGTTCGATATACACAAGAGTAACACTAACAAGAATGTTAATCGAAACCTTCTACATATATTAACTGTTCGATATATACTCGATTTGAAAATAACATTAACAAGAGTATTAATCGAATTCCTACCTATTTCGATCTTAAACTCTCATATTCGATCCAAGAAATAACACCAACGAGAGCGTTAATCGAATCCATTTCTACCAACATATATACCTTTTATTATTTCTCCACTACTTGTTTCTTCAATTTTCACTGTTCGATATATACTCGATTCAAAAATAACACTAATACTAATCGAATCGTTTCTTATCCCCTATCAACATATATATATATATATATATATATATATAATTATCACTGTTTCGATCTTAAATTCTCACTGTCCGATACATACTCGATTTAAAAATAACGAGCGGATTAAAAATTAATCATCTCTCGCTTCCTACATCCTAGAGTACCAGCCAACAAGAGATCGTCGACCGAATCCATTTCTACCAGCATATGTACCTTACTATCTGTCCCTCTACCCATCGAAAACCTGGATTTCTCGCTTACCTTGTTGATTGCTCTTCCTGGTGGTCTTCTTCTCCTTCATCCACGGGTACTCGGGCACGTTGACGGAGGGGTCCGCGACGCCGTGGGGGTCGATGATGGCGTGGTAACCGGGATGGTGGGAAGCGGGGCTGATGGAGCCCCCGGCCCCGGGCGAGTGCTGGAGGCCGCCGGCGTCGCCCGCCGCGAGCTGGGGCAACGCGGTCATGAACTCGGCCATGGAGGGTTGGCTGTTGATGAAGCCCGTCTCGGCGGTGGCGCACGTCGGGTCCATGGCCGGGTGGTGGGCCCCGTGCGGGGCACCAGGCCCCCCGGCCACCGTGGCCAGCCAGAAGCCACCCCCTCCGTCGTTCGCCAGGACGGGTGTCGTCGGCCTCGTCTTCACGCTCGCAACCTCCTTGCCCGCGTGGACCAACGCCTCGAGCTGATGCCTCCTCCGCTGCTGCTCCTGCTCCTGTTCTTGCTGTTGCTGCTGCGCTAATTCCTCTTCCGGCGGCGGCAATCCAACTTGCCGCTTGCCGCGCATCGAACGTTACACCCCCTCACTTCTTTACTTTCTTCCTTTCTCTCGATAACGTGTAAATATATATTCTTCGATAAACTATATATATATATATATATGTATATATATTCTATGCAAGGTTTACTCTTTTACTACTCTTTACACTTACAGATTTAACCTACCTATGTATATATACATATATATATATAAATGTATATATATATAAATGTATATATGTATGTGTACTACACCACTTTGCACGAGAGAAGAGAATCTCCTCGTAGTCGCTTGGTTCGAGTTCACTGGGAATCACACGAGACGAGCACAGGCAAGAAGGTTCTACTTGTCACTACATCCCGATGGAATATCTCGGGTAAGAGAGAGAGAGAGAGAAAAAAAAAATATATATATATATATTCGCGAGAAATCCACACAAAGAAGAGCGCGCACTTTTTTCACCAGATAAAGGAAGAGAAAGAGAAGGAGAGGAAGAGAGAGAGAGAGAGAGAAGAGGATCGGCAGATCGATGTCGTGGCGCGCGCGGTACCGCGTTACTCGTGTTCCCCGATCGGCCCGGAACCCGAGTCGAGCGAAGCCCACACGGCGATCGCTCTCTGCTGCACGCTAGCCGAGTGACGTGGACTGGTGACGAGGCGGTGAGAAGGAGGTGGTTAAACCTACTCTCCGTTGGGAGACGGAGAGAGACACGGACTGGTGAGCAGCGGCAGAGGCGGAAGCGGCGAACGGAGAGAGGGAGAGAGAGAGAGAGCGATATCTCGCGGCCGAGAGACCCGTAATATAAAATCCACCGTTGGAAAGAGAGGCCGCGCGCGCGCGCCTTCTCTCCAATGTTCTCCGTGGCGTGTCTCTGTTGTTACTGCTGTCTCGTTCCCTCCCGCCGTAGCGGAGGGGCCGCGCACACACTCTCTGTTGCGGGAGAGCGTCACGTGACCGGGCGCCAGTAGAACGGGTCGACCAATGGGGCGGCGGTATCGCCGCGGTCGAGGCACGGCCCTCCGCCCGCGTAGGCGGGCTGGTGCCCACACGGGCTTCTCTCCTCGGCGGGGCACCGGAACCCCGCGGCCAGCCAGGGCACCCGAAACGGACCGTGTTTGCGCCGATTCTGGCCTTCGATGCAAACGCGAGTCTCTCCGCCGAGTCTCTCTTTCTCTCGCTCGCTCGCTCCCTCCTCCCCTCCCCTACCTTCCTCTCCCTGTCCCTGTGCAGTTGGAGCACGCGAGGCCGACTTGGGCGGTCATGGATTCCGGCGCAACCGTGGGCGGGACGCGCGAGCGCGCCGCTTCGAGAGGAAAAGGACACGTGGAGGGGAAGTTCTCACGTGCTCGGCCACGCGGTGTTGTGGCCCTCTCTTCTCTTCTAGTTGGGAAGGATTTTCGTTTCTCGGTGGATATATTATTTCGCCGTGTGGAAGATTCGGCGAGGAATGATATTCGGAGGAATATTGTTATTATAAATTATTATGTAATGGGGAGAGAGAGAGAGAGAGAGAGAGGAGAGGGGGGACGATTCAGGGATGGGACAGTTTCGATGACAGATTACCCCCCTACGAACCGCTTTGTGGAGAAGCTCCCGTTCGGACAGCCGTTTGATCGAAAACTTTTGTGCGGTGCGGCAAAAAAATTGGTATAATACCCCCGGCTACTAGGTATGTATACGCGACAGTAGTAAGTAAGCGAGTAAGTAAATGAGGTAACGTTTTTTGAATGGAATTTTCTCTCACGTGCAAAATCGTGTATAGCTTTTGCTCTCTACGTTTGTGTATGTGGTGGTATAAAAAAGAAAAGAAAGAAAGAAAAGAAAAATGATAGATGAGGATGATTTTTTCCGGTCGCAGCCCGAAATATCGCTGCTCGCCCAAGAGTTTGTGGGGAGGAGGAGGGGGGAAATTTTCCTTATTCTTTTTTATCAATCCATCCTTCCAAGCCTGTCCTTTACGTGTAACTATAAACTGTCAAACTTCCGAGTGGACAATTCCCAGACATCCGCTACTTGGAGCTATTAGAATGGGAAATTTTCAATGAAGCGGGAGCGAGAGGGACGGGAAAGGGTGAGAGTCGGAATAGGGGGCGAGGAGAGAGAGAGAGAGAGAGAGGGGTAGGCGAGCAGTCGCCACATCTGCCGCCAGATTTAACTATACATTACAGACACACGATATGTCAAAGTCCTATACTTCATATCGACTCCGCCATTTATTAAAAGTTTCATCGCGCGCCACCGTGCTGCTTCGACCCCCATCCCCCCTCGCCCCCCCCTTCTTTCTTCCCGCGCCGCGAAAGAATATAGTATATATATATATATATATATATATATATATGTATAGAAAGGATGCTCGAAATGTATATACGAACGAAAAGTTTCTTCCAAGGGGGTCTTTCTTTGTAAATCGAGGAATCGATTCGAAATCCTCTTAAATTTATTTTATGACTCGATATTTTATGACTCGTTATTTATTTACACCTGAGATGAATCTTAATTTATTCCTTTTCTTTATCTTTTTTTATATATATACATATTCATATTTTATCGCGTCTTTACAATTTACAAAATTGTTATAATATACATATATATATATATAGTTCTACTTTGACGGATTATCTTTACGGCTTATCCCTTAATTCTGTGATCCTCTTAGCCTTTGTTTCGAGAAGACTCAAGTCCAATTCTTCGCAGAGCTAATTCCATCCTTCGGATTTGTACAGGATTATAACTTTGACTTAAAATTTTCAATTCAGTTGACTTATTAGCGATCGGTTAGTGATCTATTCGAATCTCGGAATAAGGAATACAGGGAATTTTTCTTGGACACCGTTTTCTTTCACCCTTTTCCCTTCGAGGAGTTGAAATTTTCTCTTTTTGCACTATCGAGCCGCGTTCTCGTATATATATATATATCGAAGAGCGAGTTCAGAGCGCTCTTATCTTATCTCACGGGCAAGCTTAATACTAGAAAAATGGGAGATTCCAGCCGAGGAACCCCTTTTTACCGGTACTGGAATTTTCCGTCTGTCAGTTCTCTCTCTCTCTCTCTCTCTTTTCTCCTCTTCTTCCTCCGTCTGCCACCGATTGCGAAATGAAGTTTTATATTAAGCTTCGACTTTTCTCTCTCTCTCCCTCCCTCTCTCGAGTCTCGTCGAGACTGCATCCCCCCTCTTCTCTTTTTCTCCTCGCACCCTCTTATGTATTTACGTACCGATAGATCGTTATGTCGACGTTTGCATATATATTGACACCGTCGCCCCTCTCGTCAAGATATAATATATATATATATATAATATATATATATATATATATAAAGTTNAAAAAAAAAAAAAAAAAAAGTATTCTTTCGCATCCGCCATTAAAAATAAACCATCTTTCGTCGCCATTTTAGCACGATCTGTCAATCACCGGATCACCGGGACGAGTCCTTCCCTTCGGGCCAAGTTTTCGTCCCTTGGAAACACGACACCCTTCCAACTTTTTCCTTCCCCCTCCCCCCACCTCCCCCCTTCTTTCTCCCTCCGTTTTCGAGGCAAAAGCGAACTCGTTAAAGGCTCCAAATAAAATCGTCCTTCTCTCCCCCCCCCCCCCCCCTTCCGTTGGAAACGTCCAAGCTCTTTTAGGAATTTCCAAGATCTGGAAGCTCTCTCTCTCTATTGTTTCTCGTGTAATAATCTTCGTTGGAAAATTCCCCTCCCCCCCTTTACTTTACTTTCTTTTCGAATTCTCTCTTTTTCTCTATGCATTCAACGATACACGATCGATAATCCGATAATCTTTGGAAAAATAATTTCTCGAAAAATTCTCGAAATTTCCCTTCAGAGATTAGATTAGTAGGGTGTGTTCCACAAGCCTCGCGTATCGGAAAAAATTTTTTCCCCTTTCCTTTCTTTTTGAATTCGTTCCTGAAATCATCATTCCTTCTAATAACTCTTCTTATTTTTATACATTCAACGATACATCGGATCGATCCAATCCGATTCTTGAACGTTTCGAAAAATAATTTCTCGAAAAATTCTCGAAAATTTCCTCTTATTAAATTAGAATTAGATTAAAGTGTTCCACAAAGAGGAGAAGAGAGGATATGTGTTAGCGTATTGGAAAAAAATTTTTTCCCTTTTCTTTCTTTGGAAAAATAATTTTCGAAAAATTCTCGAAATTCCCTCCAGCCTCCAGAAATTAATAGGATGTTCTAGATTTTTTCCCCTTTCCCTTCTTCGACATTTTTCGAAAATTCATCATTCCTCTTTAAAGTAACTCCCTTTATATAATAAAATAATTTCTCTTTATACGTTCAAACAATAATACACGATAATCGATAATCCGATCCTTGAACGTTTCGAAAAATAATTTCTCGAAAAATTCCAGAGATTAGATTAGAGTATTCTATAAAGGGGGATGTGTACTTGCGTATCGGAAAAAAATTTTTCCCCTTTCCTTTCTTTTTGAATTCGTCCCTGAAATCATCATTCCTCCTAATAACTCTTTTTATTTCTAATACATTCAACGATACACGATCGATAATCCGATCTTTGGAAAAATAATTTCTCGAAAAATTCTCGAAATTTCCTCCAGCTTCTTTAAAGTAACTCCCTTTATCTCTATAAATTCATACAATAATACACGATCGATCCAATCCAATCCTTGGACGTTTTCAAGGAAAAGTAATTTCTCGAAAAATTCTCGAAAATTCCCTCTTATTAGATTAGAATTAGATTAGTAGGGTGTTCTACAAGGAGGAAGGGGGGATGCGTATTCGCGTATCGGAAAAAATTTTTTCCCCTTTTCTTTCTTTGGAAAAATAATTTTCGAAAAATTTTCAAAAAACTCTCGAAATTCCTCCCTTCAGAAATAATAGACGATCGATCCAATTCTTGGACGTTTCAAAAATAATTTCTCGAAAAATTCTCGAAAAATTCTCGAAAAATTCCCTCCAGCCTCCAGAGATTAGATTAGCAGTAGGGTGTTCCACAAGAGAGGAGGAGGAGGGGGGGGTGGGGACGTGTGCTCGAGTATCCACCGCC